TGCGACAGATATACACGTCTCCTTGTTTTAATGTCGGGTTGATAGTATTTGTTCCACTTGGTAATGAGCCTGTATTTTTCTTATATGTTTTTTTACTCTATTAAAGCTTTTTACACACATGTCTTAACCGTACATTCATGTATATTATCGTTGATTTGAGTTCCTATGGTTTAGATAGCAAAAATTCTTACAGCTTATTTATTTGAAAATCTCCTAAAACAATTTTGCATTTGCTAAATATAATCCTAGTTTGAGAACACTAAAACTGTGCGTTCAAAACTGCAACGGAAAACCGACAAGTCTAGTGTGGAGGCTACCTGAATACTAAATATTCCATCGCATCATGCTAAGGAGCCGGTATACAACTATATGAACTCTCCGGAACGCGTCAGGTATCACGCGTCAATTGAAGGCGTTTTCGAATCTTCTGTATTTACATGACGAGGTTTTCCAAATTGTTTTGCAGTATATTGCAGATTTGAGATCCTTTTATATTTAGTTAAATTACTCCTGCTCCTTCTTTTTTAATTATTCTACAACAATTATCTTTTTGCGAAATACAACCCTGGCTTTAGCGCCCTTAAACTACGTTAGTTTTTCGCATTTTATTGTAGATTTGAGTTCAATTTTTTTTTAGTTAAATTATTCTTGCCTCTTAATTTTTAAATATTATGCAAAAATTATCTTTTTACGAAACACAATCCTGGTTTTAGCGCCCTTAAACTACGGCCTGAACGGTCGAAACTGCAGTAGCGGCACAGGAAAGCCGAAAAACCTAAAGGGACGCTACTTCAATATTAAGCTTCCATCGCCTTGTTAAGGCGCAGAGATACATCTATTTGAACTCTCCGGAATGCGTGAGGTGTCACGCTTCAATTGAAGGCGTTTACGAATCTTCTGTATTTTTATGACGAGATTTTCAAAATTTTTTTGTATTATAGGTATTGTAGATTTGAGTTCCTTTTATATTTAGTTAAATTACTCCTGCTCCTTAATTTTTAATTATTCTGGAAACTCTATCCATTTACGAAATAGAATCCTGGCTTTAGTGCCCTTAAACTTCGGCCTAAACGGTCGAAACTGCAGTAGCGGCACAGGAAAGCCGAAAAACCTAAAGGGGACGCTACTTCAATATTAAGCTTCCATCGCCTTGTTAAGGCGCTGGGATATATGTATCTATTTGATCTCTCCGGAACGCGTGAGGTGTCACGCTTCAATTGAAGGCGTTTACGAATCTTCTGTATTTTTATGACGAGATTTTCAAAATTGTTTTGTATTATATTGTAGATTTGAGTTCCGTTTATATTTAGTTAAATTACTCCTGCTCCTTAATTTTTAATTATTCTGGAAACTCTATCCATTTACGAAATAGAATCCTGGCTTTAGCGCCCTTAAACTTCGGCCTTAACGGTCGAAACTGCAGTAGCGGCACAGGAAAACCGAAAAACAACGCGCGGACGTTACTTCAATATTAAGCTTCTATCGCCTTGGTAAGGCGCAGGGATACAAGTATTTGAACTCTCCGGAACGCGTGAGGTATGACGCTTCATTGGAAGGCGTTTTTTAATCTTCTGTATTTACATGACGAGATTTTCCAAATTGTTTTGCACTATATTGTACATTTGAGTTACTTTTATATTTAGTTAAATTACTCCTGCTCCTTCATTTTTAATTATTGCACAACAATTATCCATTTGCGAAATACAACCCTGGCTTTACCGCCCTAAAACTCCGTTTGTTTTGCATTTTATTGTAGATTTGAGTTCCTTTCGTTCTTTAGTTAAATTATTCCTGCTTCTTAATTTTTAATTATTCTGCAAAAATTATCTTTTTGTGGAATACAATCCTGGCTTTAGCTCCCTTCAACTACGGCCTGAACGGTCGAAAGTGTAGTAGCGGCACAGGAAAGCCAAAAAACCAAGCGGGGACGCTGATTCAATATTAAACTTCTATCGCTTTACTAAGGCGCAGGGATACAATCATTTGAACTCTCCGGAACGCGTGAGGTATCACGCTTCAATTGAAGGCGTTTTCGAATCTTCTGTTTTTACATGACGAGATTTTCCAAATTTTTTTGCATTATACTGTAGATTTGAGTTCCGTTTATTATTTAGTTGAATCACTCCTGCTTCTTAATTTTTATTTATTCTGCAAAAATTATCTGTTTGCGTAATAAAATCCTTGCTTTAGCGCCCTTAAACTACGGCTTTAACGGTAAAAACTGCAGTAGCGGCACACAGGGGCGGACTGGTAGTCGAAAAGTTAGGAGGAGACCTAAATGTAAGGGCCTCTCCTCTCCAGTCGTTCGGGGGCCCCTCTAATAAGGTCCAGGGGCCCTCCCCTGGTAAATTTTGAAAATTTCACTCTTTTTAAACACGTAGGCATTATTGGAGTTGGATTCTACAGTACTTGAAGTTCGAAATAACCCATTTTCAGGATTCATCGGGGGTCCCTCCATCACAAATGCTTTTGGCGACCTTCCATGTCTCTTACTAGAGACAAAATTTTCAAGGAATTCGGGGCCTTTTAGTGATTGAAAAGGATAAGAAAATTACAACATATATTGCGGGTAAAAAACGATGACTCGAAAAAAATTCGCCGAAGGGGCCCCTTCGGGACCTCCGCGGCAAATTGTTAGGGGGCGATCGCCTCCCCGCCCCCATGGCCAGTCCGGCCCTGGCGATGAAGAGAAACGGAAGATACATATGCGAAACTCGGGCGGATATTAAGTGAGAAACCAGGTAGGGGAGAGGCTTTCTTCCCGAAAAGTTAGTGCTCGGGCTAACTTACATGGTCACTGGAGCATTGTAGAGCAGGCTGTGGGAAACTATTTTTTTGCAGCAACAAACCAATTGGATTGCATTTTGCAAAAAGGAACTAAGAACATTTCAATGTTGCTGGGATTGTGCAACTTAGGTACATTCTTTGCAAAAAGTAAACTTTGCGACGGTAATTTTCGTCTTGAATTCATAATTTATTGGAAGTAGAGGTGAAACTAGTTTAGATGATCGTTTATGTTTGCAAGGTTAGCGACATTGGAATGCTCTTGGCAAGAAGAACCACACGTTTGGGCTCTCTTTTTTGAAATAGGACTTACTGACAAAAAAAAAAAAANAAAAAAAAAAAAAAAAAAAAAAAAAAAAAAAAAAAAAAATCTTAGAACGTAAAATAATGTTTTTCAGGCATTTTTCAAAATTACGGCTCGATTGAAGACTCCAAAATTCTAATCATTTTCGGTCAACATCATTATACGGGGCCACTCAGATACGATACAGAAAAGCGCCTTCAAACCACTGCTTAATCTTAAAGCAAAAATCTGATACCACTATTCGTGCGTCACGACAGTCATTTTGCATAGCCGCCTAATTGAAGGCAAATCATTGGCCCAGGCAACGGCAACGGGGTACGAATTTCAGCAATGTGAAACGTGTTCTTTAGGGAACAAAACCTCCGGGGGTGCCCCACCTGGCATACAAGAAGTCCAAGCCCCAGGGGCTGTCCCCTTGACATCCAAGGAGCCCAACCCCCAGGGGCTGCTCCCCTTGGCATCAAAGGAGCCCAACACCCAGAGGCATTTTCTTCAGGAGAGTCGTTTTCGGGGAAAATTTTAAGATACTGGAAAACTGTGGTGTGTACACAGAAAAAAAACTGATGTCATTTCCGGACTCAGAGCTAATGATCGATTCGGACTTCAGTAATATATTCTGAAAGAAAAAAATTGATATTGCAGATCCATGTAATTTTTCGAAACAAAATATGGTGGGAAAAAAATTTCGCTTGTTTTTAAAAAAAAGTAGCTCAACGAACGATTTTTTTTCCACCGTGTTTGCTCCAATCACCATAGTTCCTTCACTTTAAGATTTATGGGTGGCGAATGTTTCAGATGAACATAGTTACAAACCCCCCCCCCCCCCCCCCCCCCCC